CGGCGTCCCCGAAGATTTGTATACTTCCACGGAAGATGTGGTCATCAAGTTGGGTGAGGTGTTAAATGTTTCGATCCAGAGTGATGATATTGACATCTCGCATAAATTATACAGTGGAAAGAACAAACCGAAGAATATAATTGTAAAGTTTATCAGCCACAAGAAGAAAACTGCACTTTATAAAAAGCAAACTGAACTTAAAAATGTGAGGATTACACAGTTGTATCCACATTCCACAACAGCCACGGTTTTGGCCGCGGAACATCTATACATCAATGAAAACCTAACGTCCTTCCGAAAAGATTTAATGAAAGAAGCCAACCAAATGAGAAAAGATGGACTTTTGGTCTGTGTATGGTCCATGGATGGCAAGATTTATGTTAAGACCTTGCCTGATGGCGCACCGAAACGGATTCATTCCAAGGAAGACCTCGACAACGTATGACTGTAAGCTAGCCCGACTGTGTTTTAGCGCATCTTTATTTCTAAGCCCTACTGATAAATTATTATTTTTGTTTTAAGTTCGAATTAGGATGGATAAGACACAAAGTCCTTTACGCTCTTAGATAGCATCCAGTTAAACGCTTGTATATGTTTGTGTTTTGTGTATGTGCTTGTTTCGATTGTATTCGTCAGTGTAATTTTGTTGTTTTCTTCCCTTTTATTTCATGACGACAGTCTAATCATAAGTTGTTATTATTGCAAACCTGTGAATTTCAAATCTGCTTATCAGTTGTTGCTTCCCATGATAAAATTATCGTTTGTCAACATTAGTGTGTAACGGTCATGTCGACACAAGTGAAAATTAGTATCCTATCTTTAAATGTTAGAGGCTTAAGAAACCAAGTTAAGCGAAGGAGTATTTTTAGATTCCTGAAAGATCAAAATTGTCAGATTTAATTTCTCCAGGAAACATTCTCGGAAGAAAAAGATGAATCGATATGGAAAAGTGAGTGGGGAGGTGCTATTTTCTTTTCCCACAGGTCAACCCATAGCAAAGGAGTTTCTATTTTGATAAATCCTTCAAGCAAACTGAACATGGAAGTGACCGGTAAGGATCTTGACGGCAGAATTGTGTCAATTTGATGTACAATTCAGGCAAAATTTCAATCTGTAATATTTATGCTCCGAATGACTCTCAACAACAACAGAAATTCTTGCTAACTTTAAATAGATACCTGATGTCACATACGGAAATTAGTAATCTTATTGTGGGAGGAGATTGGAATGTTACCTTGCAAGCTATTGACAAAAGGGCTGTATTTTTTTGGAGACCAACTTTATATCGTGATAACCTTATTGCGATAATGGATGACATTGGCTTAATCGACGTTTTTAGGAAGCTTTATTCAAATGAAAGAAGCTTTACTTATGAGTCCAAATCACTAAAAGTCAGATCCAGAATTGATTTCTTCCTAGTATCGAAATCAGTCGAAAACTGGGTCATTAAAACCAATACGAAAGTTTCAAATGTTCTGGATCATAAAGCCGTTGTCCTTGATCTTAAAATTCTTAGTGAAAAGCGTGGTCCTGGCTTGTGGAAATTCAACAACTCCCTAGTGGAAGACAATGAATATGTCGAGCTTATAGAAGAAAACTACG